TATCTGGAACGCGACGGGAGACTTTCGCGAACTTCGTTTCTGCGTAGCGAATCTAGGCTTGGAAATGGTGGACGAATAAATTTGAGGATGTCCGTGGGATGTATGAATAAATAATAAAGAGGGGAACGATAAAATACGGATAATAAAGCACGAATAACACGGACAATTGTTTTCTCAATTGACGCAGTCGAATTTCGAGAGAAAGCGGACGTCTGGATACCAATTTCTTATCGATCACCCGACAGCCGAACGAATCGGGCGCGTGCGTGAGAAACTTTCGCGAATTTCATCCATCAATGTTGAATCTTAACGCCCGAACCGCTCGATGATCTGAAAGAGAAACTGCAACTGTTTACGCGGCGGGAGTTTATCGGCGGGCATTATCGTCGATGATGAGCAATGCGGTTTTTCGAAATCGCCGGGCATTTCCTTTCTCCGAGCGCGGCGTTTTGTTGCCATTGCGAGAATTAAACGTGAATCACCGCGGGCGACCTCGTTTGTTGGATCCGTTGAAGGATCAAGGACTCCCGACGGGCGCGCCACGTAAATTTCACCGTCTAAATACGTCATATTTTCTGGTTAACGAAGTGTCAGATACTCGGGAACGCGGCTCGCACTAATTCCGCGGGTCGTGTCAACAGGACCGCTAACCAGCATCGTTAATACGTCTTCGAACGTGTAGCCGGCGAAAGAAAGTCCTCGCGGGACACGTAGAATCATTAAAAATATTCATAATTCTTTCGTAGAATCTGCTCCGGGATTCTTTACTCGCTTTTTCCGCGTCGCGTGCGACCCTTTATTTCGTTCGCTTAATAACGAGACGCTATATCCTTCGTCGCCGCCATTTAAACGGAACGAAGTGTCTAACGTCTAATCGTGGACACGTGACACGATCCAGCTTGCAGTGGACGAAGCACTCGAGCTTCGTCTCGAGAGGCGACGATGAAGATCTACCGAGAAATCACGATTACGTCTTATAATCGAACGACTGCGCGATATCGGAGATAAAAGCTTGAGTCAGCGTCGCGATATTGGATTTCATGGTCATGTTTACACGTCGATCGTATCGCGTGTATACGAATCCGTACCGAGGAAAGTCACGTCGCAGTAGAAATTCTACATGGCAATGACTTTTTAGTTTGCCTTTCGGCGCATGCCTCGCGGAACGGGGTGGGAGTGGATTCTTGAGTAATATATTATCGAGTGAAAAGCATTCGGAGGCATCATACGAATATAATCATCATTTATAGCTTGACCACCGCGTCCTCTGTAACCGGACACCGTTTGCGGACGAAAGTACAGACACATGTGGTCGATTACCGCAGGTTTATCACGTTGCAACTACTATACACAGTCGGTTCTGGGGAATCAGTTAAATTTTACCCACACTGTTCGGTAACGCGAAACCTTTGAAGGCTTCTTTGTGCCTGGAATTTACAACTGCGGCGTTTGGTATCTTACTATTGAAGTCGTTCTTCAATGAACAGTTAAATGAACTTCGAAGTACTACGCTGATCACGTGGAGTCTGTCGTTTTCATTTACGCTCTTTGCAGCTTGGAATAGAACAATGATTCCACGTTTAATCAGAATTATATCGCATGCTGCTTGAAATTCGAAGGTTTCAACCCTTTGTAGACGTCGATATTTTGACGAGAAATATTCAGATTTGGAGTAAGTTGTAAACGAATGATTTAATTACTTGAATAGCAAGGGATCACAGTATAGTTTCCTTTTCTCTAATTGTTTAAGCATTCGACGTATAATTTAGCTTCATGTGTCGCAAATTTTGTGTACTTAAAGAATCTGCGTCTGCAGAAGGTTAAAGTTGATATTTAACCATAATATCGCATTAGAATTTTTTATTTAGAACAGGGAATACCAAACAAATAATTTTTCTTTAACACTAGGTTTACGGACATTTATTGTACGGTTTATGTTACTGTTCCTAGAAAAATTCGGTTCTATTCGGATTTTGAAGTTAGATGTTTAAAAATAGACAATTAAGGTACACACTGGTGCAATTGCACCAATCAAAGTCGGCGTGAACATTCACCAAATAGTATTTATAAACTTCGATATGCGTCAAATTGACGCGCCCCGTAAACCTAGTGTTAAATAACAATGAAATAACATCGTTCACTTTTCTTCTATTCAGAAATTCGATATACAACATATAAGTTAGCTTTTCGCGGAGATTCCGAGCACCTGAACGAAACCACGTAAAGAGGTAAATTCTGGAATATAAAATTTCATACGTCTAGCTAGCGTATTACACGGGTATGTTCATCCGACCGTGTTTTATGATCGTCCCGTCTGCATGAATGAAACAATGGGACTATAAATATGTATAACGAAACTGAGCAGCGAGGAAAAAAAAGAATATACGCGTTGATGAGCCCCGAGCAGCGACACGCGGTCACGATTTCCCCGTGGCCACCAAAGCACGTACTATTCCCATACATCCGGCATCCGGGCTGGGAACAATGTCAACGGTCGATGCCAATGAACCGCGTTCGGAATTCCACTTTCAATTCTTCGACGCGCCGATATAAACCGCCGTGAACTACCACCTCCCTCGCGGCCACGTCATTGAAAGTTATTTAGGTTACGAAACCGCGTAAACGATTGTAACACGTCGGATAAGAGATAACGGGTCCGCGTTTTCAGACACGTAACAGCGTAAGCACGGTGTGTGACGCGGAGGACAGGTTCTGCGTTACTGTATCGTGACCGGTGAACTATGGATTCCGTGCACTTGCTGCGTCGACCGGTTTGCGAACGAGAAAAAGGTGACTTTTGTTTCAACGTTCGCCTCAACCCTTCAAGAACGAACGTCCTTTTACGCGAAGCTTCATGCTTAGAGTAGAGCGGCAGAGTAATTATTCGAATTGTAGGAGATCAGAATTATAATTCTCCTTTTCTATGGTATTTAGGAGTGAGTTGTAGAATTTAGCTTCCTTTGTTGAAAGTTTTGAACACTTAAAAATGCTCATCCGCGGAGGGTGCAATTGTCGGCCGAGTTAATGGACGTTGAGAGGACGTGACTGGAGACTTGGCAACGTTAAATTGACCCTTTGAAAGAATAGGAAATCCGTTCGACGGGACAAATGGAAGAGGATGCCGAAGACGTGGACGGACACGGCGGGTCTAAATGCTACCTCAATTATTATCACCGGATGCGACCGATATGCCGTTGCCGAAAAGATACACAGCACTTGACATCCCTGGGCGGCGGTAATTTTAGCCCGTTACACGACATTTACGAGGATACAGCCGGGAACATTTATTCGTTCGAGAAAAGGAATGCGCGCGACGCTCACGAGGGATGACTTCCCGCCGCTCCTGATTTGTCCACGATGACTGTGACGGCGCACGTGGCCGTGGGAAAACAGAGCGTCGCCACGGTCGGTAACTTTCAAAAGAATCGTCGGTGCACGGCTCTCGGAATAATATTTAACGAGCGACGAAACCACGAAACGTTTTACGAATTGTTCAATGGGAGGAATCGTTGAACCACTGATCAACGTATATCGACACTGAACCCGAACAACTTGCAACTACATTGAAACAAAATTACACAAAATTTCCTTCTATGTTTCTAGAAGTTAACCCTTTGCACTCGGAAGTTTGTCACTAGAAATGCTTAACATTTCTTGTCGAGACAAAGACGATAAGCTAACTCGAAGGGAAATCAGTATATTAAGAGATAAAGCTATTTATTCCAGTATTTCACGTGTCAAGGCATTATAAAGTTCAACATTAAATATCAGATTCTATAGTTTTACTGCGTCAAATCAACTGGTGACTAAGTTACCAAGTGCAAAGGGTTAAAAACATAGGATATTGACTTTAGGCGAAATGAAGGAAAATAGTCGTTCGTACAATGGAAAGGACTCATCGTGTCTCAGGGGCTGTCTAAACTGTGGTATGCAGATGTTATAGATAAATTGTGGATCTAGTAGTTCAAAGGGTCGCATGACCATGGGGAATTTAGAGTTTAGCAATGAGGAGATCCTAGAGTCACCTGTCGGACCAAAACCTCTACTTGACAAGTTCCACTCGACAAGTAGAAACAGTGGTCAACGATCAGACTCGTTTAACCATGCCTCGTTCGATGCTGGCATGTTGAAACTCTGTTTTCGCGAAAAAGTAGTCTATACACACCTTCCATCGAGTGTTCATTATGAATCACCCTTTTATCTCCGATCGTATGGGAACCGAAGAAAAAATCGTTCCGCGCGATTAGAAAGTCGAATGGAGGATCAAAAGGAACTCCAGCAACGCGACTGAGGGGAGAGTGCGAGAGTTGAAGGTCACTGACAAGTCGTCAAAACAATTCCGTCATTCTTTTTACCACAGCCCGCCGGGGGACTGCTATTTTGATCGGCGCCACAACCGGTGTCTAGACCGAGGCAAGTTATTCTCGGCTCGCGCTTTAGTGCCATAATAAGCGCGACAAAGGCATTCCCTTGCTGCCATCTGTTAGAGAATGTAGCCAACCGCTCGGATGTGATTGACTCTGCTCCGCGGAACCGCGAGAGGCCTCGCGGTAAACAATAGCGTTCGCCTGGATTACGTCGGCCGAGTAACTCGTTGGGACACGAGCCAAACCACCGGGTCTTTCGTTTCCCTGCGATCGCGCGGCGCTGATAGTTCCCGGTATTCCGGACGTTGGCCACCGAAACGACACGCACGGTACGGTCTAACGTTATTGTTTGGCGCACATGCACCGGTACGGGTGTGTACAGAATTTTTTGCTCTTCCGTTTCCATCGGTTGCTCCCTTCGTTCCACTGGAATCTATAAATGGCGAACCTTCTCGCGAAGGAAAATTGCCTAGAGTCAAACTGGTTTACTTTCTTTGTATGTTTACATTTTATGTGCCAGTATATACGTTTCACATTTGTGTTCGTTGTGTGCGTAAAGCGATCCGCAGTCTATTAATCGCGGCCACAGCTACGTCGATAATGCGGATTACGGGTAACAAGATGTTTACTTACCCATCACCTTGAAGCCTATTATCGACCACCTGCGGGGAAAGTGGAGCCGATAATTGCCTGACCAGGTCGTTCCACTCCCTTTCCCTTTGTTGGAACTTCTCCTGCAGCCTTTGCTTCTGCTTCTGATATTCCTTGAACAAGTCACCGTTGTAACTCTGCTCGAGATTATCGCTGCCCAGAGAGGTTCGAACTGGGACCGTGGTGGGATCCGGGATCTTCGCGGCGACGCCGGTCGGCTTCTCAGCTAGGGAGTCCCTTCTGGAACTCCTGGCCGTAGACGGTGCCGGGGATTCCCTGCCTGCGATTCTACGCTCCGGCGTAGAAGTCGCGGAAGGATCTGCTTTGATACCTGAATGAAGAACACACTATGAGACGTGAACGCGCCGAATGATATATTGCTTGTTTGCAATATGCAATCTAAATTCTACAACTTGTCCTTTCTTAAAAAACAGTACTGAGATAAAATAGCAAACGAATGATCGATGAATAAGATATTACTCTTTAAAAGTTGATTTATAACACGGAGCCTCGCTGCGTATGCTCTATTAAACCTTTACATTCGAAAGGCGATTCTGACACTTGATTTGATACAGCAAAATTACGAATATACTTAATATTAAGTTTTGTATGATATATCAGCACGTGGAACATTGAAATAAAATAGGCACGCACCTAGATTTATGTGATTTCTCTTTAACTAGGTTGAAAAAAGTATCGTCCGTCTCATCAGATAACGTCCGATGTTTCCATTGAGAAACTTTCGAGCGCAAAGGATGAACGCGTGACAAATTGCAATGCATAGATAACAAAGTGAAAGTGCCAACCGTCTGGACTCTTCGACTGTCCCCTCGTCCTAGGCGGCGCCTTCGGTTGGCTGTTGTTGCCGGTGGTCTCCTGTATGGAAGGCAGCTGCTGGAATTCGGCGTAGCTCGAGCTGAGGAAGACGTCGCCCTCGTTCTCGAAGAGCCTGTCCACGCTGGTGTTCATCAGCTTGTTGTTCTTGAAACCGGTTAGGTGAAAGCTCGCGAACGACGATCTCGACATGGGATTTATATCGCCGGTGGACAGCGCCATTAGCGCGGCAGACGGTATCGGTGTATTTTTAGGCCCGGGACTCCTCGGGCCGAGGCCGGCCTCCAGAGCCGGCACTAAGCTGCGCGACATCATATCGGCCGCGGACCGCGGCCTGGTGAACGGCATCGCGCTATGCGGGAACGTTTTCGGTTTAATGGGTGTTATCAGCATATGCTCGGTCCACGACGTCTCTAAAGAGGGCCGCTCCAGCCGTTCCACGTCGACGTTCAGCGTCCGTTGCGCGAACGGCACGGCGAACGTGTCCGGTGGTATGCTCTGCAGCCAGGACAACAGACTCAGATCGGAGTCGCTGAATCCTACGGAGCCGTCCAGCAGTCTGGAGAAGTTCATCTCCACCTGGAATTAGAGCGACGAAGGTTTTATATCTTAGGCGTAAGATCATGAAACGAAAGAACAGTATGATATAAGAAGGCCTACTGTTTCTAAAACAAGTATTATCAATAACGGGAATATCTGATAGAAAGAAATACATGGAAGTGAATACGTATAAGAATATTTAAATAGATCTCTATGAAACTGAGTATACCGTTAAGAACAATGGAAAATACAGATATTTGTCCAACTGAAATCTAGTCATCTCAACCGGAATTACTCTACTAAGCAACGAGGTAAAGCCTTAAAGAGCGAAACAGAGAACGAAGTCGCGAGTCCTGATTAATAGTTAGGAACCTTAGAGAACTGTGAACACTGACGAAGTACCTGGCAATTAAAGACATACCTGCTCGCTCTCCTTAGAGCCGGTAGCTTTCGCCTGGCAGTAATTAACGCAGGACTCGTAGAGGATCCCTTTGATGATCAGCTGTATAAGCCGATCGTTCTTCGCCGAGGTGACCGGATGCGCCGGGTCCGAGCTTTTTCTGTCGCCCGGCAGAAACTTCTCCACCAGCGGGTGCACCTCGCGGAAACACTGCACCCTGGCATTGCTGGGATTCCAGTCTTTATACTGCAGGTGGTCGGTGAGTCGCGGCAGGGTCAGCAGGAGGCACAGGCCGCTGTACTCCTCTTTCGAGGGCGCGACCTTCTCTAGGTCGCTGAGGACCTTCACCACCTCCTCGACGGCGTTGTCGACGCTACCGTTCGTCCCGGCCGCGATCAGGTTCGCCTCGGACTTGATGCAGAGCAGCTCGACGTACTTGTGACGGAGGATCGAGTAGGTGAACTTCCGCATGTCGAAGTCCGGCAGAGCCTCCAACGGCTGGATGAACTCCAGCACGTCGTCCCATTGCCCGTCGAGGATCAGCTGACGGAGGAAGAGGACATCGTCGCTGTACTGGCCGTTTATCACGCCTGTCTCCCGCTCCAGCGATAGCTGCGAGATGTGAAGGTCGCGGCTGTGGAGGAACTCCAAGGTTAGTCGTACCACATCCTCCTCGCGCAGCGTCAGATGCGCCGCCGGCATCACGTACCGAATACGCAACCTGGAGCAGTTTCCGGAGCAGAGAATTACAGCCTCGACCTTCTCTGGCGAACGTGACGGGGCTCGATGGAATTTCAATGATAGGGGGGGAAACTGGGATCAGTGTCATTTGTACGCAATGTCGCGGTATGGAGTTGTACAACGTGCTACGGGATTTTGGATATTTTTTTCGAGTCTCGTCGTTGAACCGATTCATAATGAAAGGAATTTTTGGTAATAAACGATTACGTACTGAATTTTCGACTTATAGAGAAGGGAGAAACGAGAGGGAAACATGAATTATAAGCATTCTCTTTTGGGATTAGTGCGGTCGGACGATTAGGAATAGGATAGTTTTGCATAATGTAACAGTACTTGGACATAAACAATGTCACGGTGATTCAATAGATCTTTAAACGTTCGTGCCACCTGTACCAGTCATCGCGTGTACCAATATTCCGTGAATGCGATAAAACTTATTTGTTAACAATCCGGTCGAGAGGAACGTACATACATACGGTTAGAGAACGTAAGGTGGCCGAAGCTAGAATCGTTTTATCTTTGTTCCAGCCACGCCGATCGATAAATCTTGTAATCAACGTAGCACAATCTGATTCACTGGAATTACTGTTCGAACGAGCCGCGATATTGCGAAACCGAATAATGGTATGCGCTTACGGAATGCGCGAAATCCCTGTTTTTGCAAGTTCGTTGCGTTTCGAGGTCACCGGCCCTGCTGACATGCCCTGATTGCCGCGCGAACTGGGTGGATAGATTCGGACGTTGCTCCAGAGCGTTCTCCTACTAAACTACTACGCGAATATTTAACCCCATACCGTCCGCCAAGATCAACAACAGTTCTAAACACAATACTTCGAAAGACTCTCAACTCTTGATTTAGAAATTGAAAATAATATTTTCGTTCCTAATAAGGAAAAAGTAGAAATTACTGTCGTTCAGAATTTTGTTCGTCGATGGGATTCGAAGTTAACAGAAAGCAGAATGCTTTTCAACTTACAATTAATAATGAATACCAAGGAAATTTGTGAATGATTGAAGAACGATGAATCACGTATAATTTCCAAACGCAAATCAGCGGAATCCTATTGGAAGTTATTCATACGTCAGTCGGTTGGCCGAAGGAACGTTTTCACCATTTCCATGCTGGCTGGGTCGAGCAGGTAGGCCGAGAAAGTTTGCCGGATCCAAAACGACACGGATTTCCATAAACGTCATTATTATGCAGCGGCCATGTGACGCTGATACTCTATCTCGTCGCAGAAACACATTGAGGCTGCGAATCGGTGAGCCCACAATTTGGTGCAGACTTCTGGGATTTATGTACAGGGTGTGCTAGTTCTATACAGTTACATCGAAAATATACAAGAAATATTTTTCACTTAAAACCTTCTTGCGGGAAGATGAAGAAAAAATTTGACTCTTCCTTAATTGAGTAGTAATTTATGAAACACTTTGTATGCATCATAGAATATATTCTCGTGAAAACACTCCGAGGGTATCAAGCTCGAGGTGCAAACGACTTCAAGAAAAAGAAGGGTGACAAATCCGTGAAAATTCGCGATCGATTTCGCATATAAGATGATCAAAGTTTGCTCGGACACTGCATCCAATTTATATGGCGAGGATGCCGAATCTTTCAGAGATCGGAGATCAGACGAAATACGGTGAAATGAAAAGCTGGCTTCAAGTTAGTCGGAAATTATCGATGAAATGAGACTATCGCCGGGGTCTTGCAATATTTTTATGAAACGCAAGAACAGGTGTCGCTGAATTTTTCGTGAACAAAAAGCGACCTAGATAACGATCCCGCGAATTCCTCAATTACCACACAGTCGTCACGCGCTTGCTCGACAAAAGTGCGTACGACGAGGAAACCGTGAATTCGTGGTGTCAGCAACAGCGAGGATTCATTTACGTGTCTTCGGGGTCGTGCAGTGCAGTTTTGATCGAAGCGTGGAAGGATTAACGACAAGAAATGCAGCGGTGGATATTGGTGAGTGTTTCGTGCCGGTGTCTTTGAAACGTCAACTGTTGTACACTGGTTTGATCAATTGTAGTCGAAGTGTTAACCCTTTGCACTCCAAAGGTGCCTCTCAGCCTTGATTGGTGCATCAAAATTGTAAAATCTCGTATTTAACATTAAGTATTGACTTAATATTCTTAACATTGTTCCCCCTATTTTGTGAATCGATTCCTCGTCGAGTTACTTTAAAAAAATGTCATCTATATCTCATAACAATAAATTGAATATTTCTAGTAACAAATTTTTGGAGCGCGAAAGGTTAATTATTTTCAAGTAATTTTAAACCGGTCATCTCAGAACTCTCCAGTCTTGAACTTTCTCAACGAATTTTGTAATTAAAATGTAAACCCAAGGAAGAACATTGATGGAACTTGAAAGAAAGTTGTAACGAAAGTCTTCGTCGAGTTGAAGATATTAAAATTAATGACAACAACCGACAGGTTTCAGTGGCGAGCCTTTTAATCGGCAACGCGTTCGCCGACGTTCTAGTGCAGCCTGGCTATGGTCATCCGAGTTCCTTATTGAATCCACACCCAATAGTGCAGCCTCTGTCAACCCTTCAACGTGTTGCGAGTAACCAGTTCACCGATGCAGGATATCATTTAGAGCTACATCCTGTCTACGGAAACTTGGGACACTCCACTCCTGCACTGGGTTACCTCCAAAGTCACGATTTGTCGCCCTATCTGTCGAAGACAGCTCAAAGACGCCTATACTCTGGAAAGTTGGGCACTGTCGGGATCCCCCTCGCGCATCCGATCGTACAACCTCATTATATCCCCTTGGTAAGCGTCACGATAAATGGCACTGTCTGTTGATACGAGTTCATTGCGGATTTTCACACACGATTATTGTCCAAAGGAACTTAAGCAAATAGAATGTAGACAGATACTTATGTTCTCACTTGAAAACGTTAATAAGTGCTACTGATTTATATATTAAGTATTCAAGGTTGTATGACCTTCATACTTTGGACACTACCTATATAGTGACGTACGTTTCGGTTTGAAAATTAATGTTTCTTTTTATTGTCATTGCTACAATCTTCATGTGACAGTGTGCTAGAGGTTCCAACCGTATAAGCGACTAACTTAACTTTCCCTAGGCA